TCCTACCTCATGAAAATGAGGACATTGATGACATCGACATGACAATTATAAACTTGGCGGAAGCGGAAGACTCGATGATGTCCCACTAACAGAGACGAAAACCAAGGCCTAAATAATAACTATAACCAGCATAAAAATAGCTCAAATAAATTTACACCATGCGAAAACCGTCTCTGTAGTCACCGCGAGGGCAACACTCAATAACAACCTGAGTGTAATACTGACCCAAGAGCCTTGGATTTTCAAAAACCGGATTTGTGGCTTGGCTACTAAATACACACAGATAATATGGGATGTCAGATGTGATAACCCCAGAACTTGTATATTATTGAATAAAAATAATAACTTTCTATGTATTCCAGAATTCCTCTCCAGGGATTTAGTAACAGTCCAGATTCCCATTAACATCAACGGGAATTCCAGAAGCATCGTCCAAGCAACCAGGTATCTACAGGGTGACGAAATTCAGGGCATACCACCTGAGGGCATATGCAGACTGGTGGAATACTGCACGAATAAAATGCTACTGCACGTAAACAACAAGGTTTGGGGCAGCACAAACACCAACAAACGAGATACGCGAAGAGGTTCTAGATATAACGGTAGGAAATACTCTAGGTAACAAACTAGTTAAAAATTGGATAGTTTCTAATGAATCATCGGTGTCTAACCCTATATCAATAGAATAACTAGGAACCCTAGGAAAATAAACTGTGAAAAACACCACAATAACCTATGAGTTAACCTAAGTCAGTTAGATATAGGGAGCAGAGGCGAGGCGTCGAATGGTTCAGAGTGTTCACTGAACACCTTAACAAAGCTTCCTTTTTAGATCTTTTTTTATTAGGTAAATAATCTCGCTATTTTGCTCCTTAACATTTTTTATAATAGCTTTTCCAAACAGATTTACATAAAAACAAAACGTACAATACAAACAAAATCAAACATACATATGTTAGTTACACCCAACATTACTTATAATTAATAAAAGAGAAAACATATTCCTCTTAAAATATACTAAGGTTCAGAATAAAAACTGCACCGCGCTGCTTACAAAGCATGCAAATGAAATAACATTCACATTGGGACTATGTTCAATATTGAATAAATACAAACATGCAAACAAATATAAAAATAAAAGAGAAAATAAACCCCCAAAATATGTACGTAAAATAATCATAACTCTTAAATTAATGCGTACAAGCGGTTCAATAAAAAAAAGTGAACCTCCAATGTTATGCAAAGTAAATTTGAAGTGAAAAATAATGTTTAGAAATGGATAAATGTGTGATTAAAGATTTGATTCAAATATCTTTTTTTAAACAATCTTCTGAAAAAAAGGTTTTAATTCATAAAATGAATAGATCAACTCCAGATATGAAGAATTTGGTACCTGATGTAAAAATGTCGAAATCTATGGTAAGTCGCCGTTTTCCTACAGCTATTTACCATAAAAACCAGTAAATCACAGGCTGCGAACATGTAAATAAATTGTTTTGTTTTGTAGCGTACAAGAGCTATTTGCTTGTGGAAAGACAAAACTCAGGAGTAGGGGGAATACGTTATAGTTGGAATTCAGTTTTGATCAAATTGTGAACACGTTGCCAAAAGCTGACGCCTCGCTACTGATAGGGAGATATATCCAGCATGCAACCCAAGTGGAATCCATAGTTGAAAACCTCAGTAATGCCATTATTGATGCATACGAAAATAATTGCCCGATAAGTTGAATAAAATCAACCAAGGACGTATCTAGGTGGAACAATAAACTAACGACATTGAGGACAACGGCTCGAAGGCTATTCAACCGATCCAAGCGTACTAGGTGCTAGACCGATTATAGAAACACTCTCACTCTATAATAAGGAAATTAGGAGAGCAAAAAGAGAAAACTTCAGGATGTTCTGTAACAGCGTAGAACACATTACGGAGGCAGCAAGACTTTGCAAAGTATTGGCCAGAGAGAAAACACTCTCCTCAACCAATCTGAAAAGAGATAACAATATGTCCACGGTAGATGAGGAGGGAAGAATCCAATTACTTCGCCAGACTCACTTCCCAGGATCCTTCAGCACGGTGGAACAAGAAACTGAGAATACCAATCAGGAAACTTGGCAAACAGCAGATAAAGGAGCCTGGGCTATTGCCAAGGAAATATGTACGACAACTAGGATCAAATGGGCGGTGAAAACCTTTAAACCATTTAAATCACATGGCATAGATGGTATACTTCCGGCACTTATTCAACAAGGAATAAAATACCCTCTAACCCCGCTGACGAAGATAACAGGTAGTTTTCATACCAAAAACAGCAAAGAAGCATGCACTCCATCCAAAATCTTTCAGAGTCATTTCTCTCACATCCTTAATGCTAAAAACATTAGAAAAAGTTGTGGTTAACTTCATTAGAACGACAGCACTTGTAACTACCCCATTACATCTCCCTGCCAACATGCGGGGCGGAGAGATCCACTGAAAGCGCATTGTTTGAGTTAACAAATATGATAGGGGATAGTATTGAGAAGAAGGAAACAGCCATATGCGCATTTCTAGATATTGAAGGTGCCTTTGACAATACTTCACATGACGCTATAAAGAGATCACTAATAAACAGAAGAATAAACTCTTTTGTGGCACGGTGGATGAGCAACATGCTTCGCACTAGGAAGGCAGAAATACGAATTAGGAATATTTGAGGAATATTTGAAAATACTCTATGCGACAGAATTCAATATGTATTAGAAATTACAAGAAACTGGTGCAACAAGGTAGAACTGAGTATAAACCTAGCTAAAACTACAGTTGTAAATTTTACAAAAAAATACAAACTCAAACATCTGAAGCCTATCAGATTCGATAAAATTGAGGTAGAAATAAAGAAAACGGTTAAGTTCTTAGGCATACATCTACACCAAAAACTCAACTGGAAACACTACATTGAGGAGGTCACGAAGAAAGCCACTTGGGCTCTTATGACCTGTAGATTCATAGCAGGCAAAAGTTGGGGCTGTACACCAAAAATACTACGATGGGCCTACTCGGGGATCATCAGACCTATCATCTCATATGGGGCACTCATTTGGGAAAAGGGAACCAGACAACAGAATAACACTTACGCACTTAACATGCTATAAAGGTTGGCGTGCGTATGTATAACGGGTGCCATGCGGACTTGTCCAACAGTAAGATGGAACGAGGTAAAATCGAGAGTTGATGTTTGATAGTCGACTTCAGAATTCGTAAAACTGCAGTCGTAAAGTCGCAGTCGTAAAGAAGAGGTCGTAAATTAACAGTGGTAGAAATAGTGCGGTGGCAGTCGGTCCCTTGAATTTATGAATTTTATTACATTTAATTATATTTATTTTATTATTTTGGATTATAATTTTACTTTACAAATAAATCTATCTTACACATATATACCTATATACACAGAGCAGAAGTAGTCCACAAAATTTTTCTTAAATTTTGCATAACTTATTTAATTTTTACTGAAATTAGTTTTTGTTTTCTAATTTGTTTTAACCAAAGAAACAACAACAAAGTTCTAATATTTTGAAATTATCATATCTTAAACTCTTTAGGAAGTCAACTAATAATTAAATATCTTTTAATGACACATTTATGCTTGCAAGCGAATTTAAATTAACGGTAAATTTAAATATTAAGAAGTATCCGTAGACTTTTTCTGCTTCAAAAATCGTTGCTTTTGCATATGAAAGTGTGTTTAATTTGTTTTAAAGAATAACTTAATTTTTTATATTAGAACATTATTGTTGTTTCTTTGGTGAAAATAAATCATGTTTAAAAGAATGTTTAGAATACTTCAAATATATTACCAGCTATATCGTAGAAGAGTTAATTTCTGATTGCATTTGAATGCAATTGTGTTTAAATATATATTTTAGAGAAATATTCGCCTAAAGTAAATGTGTGAATTGTAGTTTTGATAGTTAAATCTCGTACCAAAACAAAGTTATATTTAAATACGGGTTGTGCAAGTTTTTATTTATTTCGGAAAATGTTATCGGACAGAGAACTGCAATAAGTACTCAACACTCGAGTCATATTCGAATCATTGTCTGTATTTCAATTATACTCATTCAGACTTTCTTTTTCGTATGCAAATATTTGACTCAACCTAATTGATAGATACCGCTGAAAGATTTGCTTAGGAAACACCAGCACTCATATAAAATTGTTATTAATGCCAAAAGTGATCGAGTCGGCAGTCATTAATTCCTTTAATTTTTTATAAGTGTACCCATTGATTCATACCACTCGAGTGTATACTATAACTCATGAGTCATTTGCTATGTATGACACTGTACTTAAAAAGTATGCGCATTTTTGTGACGCTGATTCATTAGCATCGGCACTCGTTAACGAAAACACCTTGGAATAATTTCTATGGTGAATATTTATACGTATTTTTTACTTGGTTTTTATGAGTGTACTCTGAGTATTAAAGTAATGACTGCAGTTTTTTGAAATAAGATTTTAATGAATTTAAGCTTAAAATTTTCGCCATATCTTGGGATTTTCATACTAAATTATATGATATGTGATATGGTTTCTTGGTAACTCTTATTTACAATAATTCATGGACTCATGTCTTACTATGCGCTCTTGTCAGAATAATTCTCTTAAACAAACCGACCAGTGCTAATATATATAAATGTTTATAATTTTATAATACTATATTTATATTAATAAATGTACATAAATGATTCTAATGTCTTTTTATACAATATGTACGAGCAATTAACGCTTAAATAAAAACACTTTTAAACTTCATAATTGCTAAAAACAATAATCGTTCACACGAGTAAGCTAAATCGATCAGTTCACCAAATTTTGTTATTATAAGTGTTTTTATAGTAATAATATTTAACACATGTTAATTCAGCGAACAGTCTGCTTCATATAAATTATTTTAAATATAATAATTATCTAATTTAAATTAAATATAAGTGTATAAGTGTTTAAGTATATAGTATCACCTGAAATCTTAATATGATTGTCCAAATTAAACCCAAATTAAGTGATGCATTGCCATCAACTATATCATGTGATCCAATATTTTCTAAATGAACTCGCTGTTCTCGTAAAAATTGCAATGCTTTATCCACATTCTCTAAACAGTGAATTCTCATTTTGCCTTTTGTTGGCTTGGGTAAACGTTCACCCGATAAAACTTCTAATAACTTTATTATATGTTTTCCATCACGCATATCAACATAAAGGTCAGAAATTCTGCAATTCACTCGACACAAGTGAGAATTGACCCACTTTGTAAATGTTTTTTTCTGAACATTTTCTCTTTCTTCAGCCAACGCTTTAATCCGAGATCGTTCAAATAAACGTGAACTTGAATTGCCACCATCATACTCATATTCATCTATATACTCGTTGCTAGGACCCTGGCTGGGGTCCCATCGGACAATTGATATATCTGTCGTCATATCTCGTGTTTAAATCTGTAGAAAAATTACAAAAACATTAAACAAAAGTTGTATATATGTATATATATTAAAAACTTGTTTTTTATTGTTTTATTTTTTAACCGTATAATATTAAAGAACTTGATTAATAAAATATTTGATTGGATTTAATTGATCTTAAATATATTATTTATTTAATATTGTAACAACACAGATTCGTCGTTTAAATTTACTGAGGTATCACTTAGTCGCGGTCCGGGTCGTTGCAATAAATATGTTTCATTGACTAGTTCGAAGGCTGGTAAACCAAGGAAAAGTAAAGACGTTGTTTTCTTAGTTTTAAAAATGAATGTCTTTATTTTAAAATTTATACTACTAACAAAGAATTCTTAGTCAACGACATCAAAATGTCGAAGGCGTTACAAATAAATATTCTACTCAAAGGTTCTAGCTAAAGACATCAAAATGTCGAAGGCGTGATAAAGAAATATTCTATTCAAAGGTTCTATTCAACGACATCAAAATGTCGAAGGCGTGATAAAGAAATATTCTACTCAAAGTTTCTAGCCAACGACATCAAAATGTCGAAGGCGTGATAAAGAAATATTCTAATCAAAGGTTCTAGCCAACGACATCAAAATGTCGAAGGAGTAAGTGTCTACTTACTGCGGTGTGCTGGCGCTAAGTGAACTTTCATACAAAATTCTCGTCTATTTATATGAAATCACCTTCGCTTCAATAGACGTACGAACAAACGCACCAGTGTAATTATCCGTGCGTAAACAAATAATGCATTTCTTTGCGAAGTAACGGCTCTACCGTGAGCTTGGCTTGACTTGTGCTGGCTGTGCGTGTCGATATTCGCTGCTCCGTTGAGACTTGTTTGTTAATTTTATGATGCGTAAAATAGTTTTACGCATTTGTGTTTTTGCGACCATGAATATAACTAATAAATTTTATGCAAATGAAATTAAATATTACTGCATTGTAATATTTTATATTTTCTGTTTTAATAAAAGTTATAAGTTTATGTAGGGCGGAAATTTCTACAAAATTTTTTTTGTGATTTAAAAGTTAACCGATTTCGGTCATTACGATAAAAAAAATTGTTTAACTTAAAACAGTCACACTAGCGGTGTTGAAGGGACTAAAGGGTTCCAAAAACAGTCGGGTTTACGTCCCGGAGCCACTCGTCAACAACGATGACCAAGAACCGTTAAACACCTCCCAATGGGACTCCACAAGCAGGTATGTGTTTGTTGACATAGGTATGTCGATTATTTGTGTTTTTCCCACTAAGAAGCAAGTCCCGGCCATCTTGCTTCTTATGTTACTTCTAATGGCTGGTATTGAACCTAATCCTGGTCCTGTCGGACCTCCCACCTCAACTTGGCATTGTTTTGACTGCAAAAATCAAACATCAGTCAAATGCAACATTTGCAGTAACTGGTGTCACTTTAATAATTGTTCAGGGTGTTCAGGATTGTTTGGGCTTAGCCATACTGATTGGAATCCTGCTTTTAGAGGACATTGTTGTCCTCCAGCTCTTCTACACAGACTATCTACATCTTCGTCTACCTCTGGCAGTCCTTTTCCAGTCAATGCATCATCTACTTCCCTCACGACTTGGCTATGCACTGTGTGTAAAAGAGTAATCTCTAGCAACACCATCTCTGTCCAATGCAATTCTTGCAATGGGTGGTATCACCTTAGACCTTGCTCCGGATTGGTCTCTCATCATGGTTGGAATTCAAACTTCATTGGCAGTTGCTGTCAAACTTCACCTATTATTCCACCACAAAACCGCTCACAGCTTCAACGCACTAGCGTAGTCTCCGCAATTAATAGTTCTTCCCCTCTCAAAATTCTACAGTTCAACTGTAATGGTAGGGAAATTGTTTGAAATTGCAGCATTCATGTCCTTCAATATTGCAGTAGCGGCACTGCAGGAGACTAAACCACTACCCAACACCTCTCTCACCCCTTCTCAGGCTTTACACTTATTCGTAAAGACCAACCTAGGCGCGCAGGAGGTGGACTTGGTTTTTTTGTTGCGGGATTCTACATCTCATTGTGAGCTTTCTTTGCCCCTGTCTAATGACGAATACTTAGAGGTGATAGGGTTAAAAATTTTCATTGGTAGGTCATCAAGGTTCCTTGAACTAGTCAATATTTACATACCACCCAACTCTAGCTACCCTCCGCAGCATATATTTCACATCTTCGCGATGGGGACTCGCGTTTTGTACTGTGTGATTTGAATGCACACCATACCCTGTGGTTTTCCAACCTAACAACTGATTAGAGAGGCCCGCAATTGGCTTTCCAATTTGATGAATCCTCTTTTGGTGTTCTAAAGCCTAGGGCTTAGAGACTGACATCAGGAGAGCTGGAGCAGGTTGGTGTTACCCTAGTAGACGAGTCTACTGCCTCGAATTGGAGTTTTGATATAGCTTTAAGCTCAGATCACACTCCCATTACAATTTCTATTCCATCAATCGAGGTCCTCACGAGGCTGACAAGAAAACCTACAGGAATTTCAAAAAAGCGAATTGGGCCCTTTTTATAGATATCTCAGAACGCGACTTCTCTTTGTCCTCTGATTTGAACAAGGCAGAGAAAACATTTCGCAGCATAATTATCAAAGCAGCCGTCACAGCAGTTCCCGCAGATAGGATTAAAACCATTAGAAAATTGAACCCAGCCAATCCACACATAAAAACGCTGAACAATAACATTCGTAAAATGGTAAACAAATATCGTCTTGGTAAATGGAAGGAACATTTAGATAACTGCGACCTCCAAAATGGTAAAGTGTGGACTACCACTAAAGCACTTTCACCTTCCCGCTCCAAAAACAAGGCGACATCATTTAATGGGATTACCTTCCCTGATACCGCTCCAACAACAAGGCGAGAAGCATTCGTGCCCAATGCTTCTGCATGTTACACGCAGACAGAAACGCGGTTTTCGGAAGCCACATTCCGACGACAACACGCTGTTCTCCCCAGGTGATGTACTTAATATGATCAGACAAGCCAATGCCTCGAAAGCTCTTGGACCTGATGGCATTTCCATGCTCATGCTCAAGAACCTCGGGGCCTTTGATATTTCAGTTCTGACGCACATTTTGAACTCGTCCATCAGTTTACACATCATCCCAAACATATAGAACACTGGTAGAATAATTCCGTTGTTGAAAGCAGGTAAACTGGCAGGCTTAGGTAAATCTTATAGACCGATATCCCTCCTATCTCCAGTAGCCAAAGTTTTGGAGTCTCTAGTACTCAAGCAGATATCACCTTACATTCACCTAGCTCCTCATCAACATGGTTTTTCGTCATAGTACCACCTCAGCTCTTTGCGAGATTACATCCCAAATCGCTAATGGTCTAAATCAATTTCGCCCGTATGAACGCACGGCGTTTGTTGCCCTTGATCTCGCAAAAGCATTCGACACAGTCTCTCATAGGACCCTGTTAAATGACTTGGCCGAAACATCTATCCCTGTCTCCACCATGTGATGGCTCTGTGACTATCTTATAGGCAAATCATCCTTTGTTGACTTTAGAAATAACATGTCAAAAGGTAGGAAATTGAAATAAGGTCCTCCGCAGGGCAGCGTTCTTTCACCGATTCTCTTCAATTTATACATGTCCAAACTCCCGAACCCCACAGAGGGTGTCGAAGTCAGAACCTATGCAGATGACTGCACAATTCTAACTATGGGCCAGGACCCTTCTATACTGTGCAATAGGTTAAATGCATATCTTCCATCTTTGGCATCATTTCTGGCTAATAGAAATCTTCATCTATCACCAAATAAATCTTCAGCCACCCTCTTTACTTCTTGGACTAAAGAGGTTTCCTTGACTCTGCCCATAAATATCGATGAAATCAGGATCCCCACCACCACCAAACCAAAATTCCTGGGTGTCGTACTCGACAGTATGCTGACTTTTTCTGCACATGCGTCTGCTATATGTGACCGGTTAAAATCACGTCATAATGTGTTAAAAGCTCTCGCAGATTGTTCTTGGGGCAAAGATAAAGAAACTCTACTGAGTACAAGCAATAGGACGTCCTATGCAGCTCCAGTATGGACCCCACAACTCTGCGAGACGCAATTGAACAAAATCCAATCTTGTCAAAATACGGCACTGCGAATTGCAACTAACACTTCGTTCAATAATGTGTGTGACTGACACATAGGTGGCGGCACTAATACTAAATAAATATTTTTTTTCGAAAGTGGCAAGCTTTTTAGGCTTACTGTCAAAATCATATGTTAATCCGACTATTTGTTTACAAGTTACAGTGCTTTAAGCACTGGAATTCAAAGCAATTCCGTGTGCTGATTTATCATTGTTTTTTAATGAAAAAAAATACTGTTCAATGCCAGGAATGGCTTGAAAAACATTATTCGGACTCTGCTCCATCAAAAAGAAGCATTTGTTATTGGTATGCCGAATTCAAAAGTGGTCGTACAGACACCGATGACATTCCATCTACTGAACGGTCAAATGGCGCTGTTAATCCGGAAAAAGTTGAAAAAACACTGAAAATCATGTCCGACCGTAAAGTGAAAGTGAGGGAGATTGCTGACATTCTACAGATATAAGCAGGCAGTGTACACACTATAATACACGAACATTTGGGTATGAAAAAGGTGTTTTCCAAATGGGTGCCGCGTTTGCTCACACCGGAGCAAAAACAACAACGAATCGATGATTCAAAGAGCTTTTGGACATGTTTACGCGCAATAAGTCGGAGTTTTTGCGTCAGTACATCACGATGGATGAAACATGGATCCACCATGTCACTCTAGAGTCAAATCGGCAGTCTGCTGAGTGGCATGCAGCCGGTGAAAGCCGCCCAAAGCGACCAAAGACGCAGCAGTTGGCTGGCAAGGTTATGGCGTCTGTATTTTGGGATGCACATGGAATAATATTCATCGACTATCTCCAGAAGAGGAAGACCATTAACAGCGACTATTATATAGCGTTATTGGAGCGTTTGAAAGACGAAATCGCAAA